TGTAATCTTGGGTCTTAATGTAACGCCTGTAAATATCCCGGAATTGAAAAATTAACCAAATTACCCTCAATCACCATGATGAATTACCACCAACCAGGGTTGATACATGTAGTTTCTTTGGCAGTAGTAACAGCAGTAGTCAAAAATAACATGGATGTAATGGATGGATAAAACCACTGAACCATTCAGGCCTCGAGGCCCTTTTATTAATGAGTATAATTTTGGGAAAGTGTATTTTCTTAGGATTCATATTTGCTTAGTCGTAACCCAAGACTGACATAATTGTTTCTATTTATTTTAATGAAAATCCAACCACTCAAATCAGCCCTGGAGCAGTCCACAGAACAGATCATGACTGGAAGGTTGATGGTTTAATTCACAGACTACTGGGAAAAAATGGATAAGAACTTAATTTAAAAAACCTGTGAGAATGAAAAAGACATTTGGGCTCCAAACGCTGTGGCTCACAACAAACAGGACGTATGCCAGTCTGAATAGTTATAGTATTGATGTTCCAATGTCAGCCATTTTCAGTTTTTCTTTTCAACAACAGCGTGAACATAACTGTAGCGGTCTTTGAATCCACCCCAGTTATTATGACCTACTCTGTGAATCATGAAAGTGTCTTTGTCAGGATGATTCTAAGAAGACTGACAGACTTCGCCTCAAATAACCCGATGGCTTCGCACTATTCCAGCACATAACGACATAGCTGACATGTGTGGACAAGCTGGCTGTGCAGAGGGGAGATAAATTCAGTGTGGGTGGACAAGTCCTGCTGCTGCTGTACAGAGTTCAGCATATCAAACTCTCTGGAGTCTGTGGATCATGCAGCCAGCTGATAACACTAAGGATGTTGTTAGATTAACTGAATTACGCATGTGAATTTTAATGATGCTATTCTGCTTGTAACTACCACTGATGTGAAAGGTTTTCCCAGTTATCAGCTCATATTTATTTTAATTTCATTACAGCATGGGTAAAAAATAACACATATTGGCTCAAACCTAACTACTATCTCAAAGCAGGAGACCACAATGAGTTCTATACTTTGTTGTACCTACATCTGACGTGCCAAAAGTTCTGATTTAATTCACACTTTATTGCTCAATAAAGCAAATGTGAGTTACCGCAAGAGGGACAAAGTCAAATTTAGGTACACAGGCAAATTATAAATATTTGACAGCCAAAAACAAGTATGCAACCTTTTTAGAAGCAAGATAAACACACAAGAAGCATTAAATAAAATGGCACAGACCATGTGAGACATTACTAAAGAGTGATTTTCTTTTTTGCCATCCTCTGATAAATTATTGTAGCAAAAAGAAGCAATGAGGCAGTAACGCTTAAGAAAAGTATAGATGACAGACTGACTGGATTTAACACTGACATCTCAGAGGCAGAGTAAAGCAACCACTCACTTAAAGCAAAGCTACAACTACAACAGATAGTTGTTTCCTGTTTGTGCTGATGAAGGGCCTAATGTGTAAGCAGTGGTTTTGGGAATGTTGAACCCTTTTGTTGTATCTCGGTTCGCCTTTTATCTCACCTCCAAATAACTCCAAATCCCGCAGGCTCTCCACACTCAATTTCTCAGATACCCAACGCTGACAGACACAGAGAGTTAATGACAGGACATGGAGAAAAAGGGGAGAAAAAGCAAGCAAGAATAAGAAAAATGTTCCAGAGAAACACACACATATTTAAAGCAGTTGAATAAAGATGGTTCATGCTGACTTCACAATGTGCAGCAACAGTTTTCTGTCTTTTGTGTGAAAGAGAAAGAAATAGAAAGCTCAATTTAAAAACAATTTCATGCAGCCTTTCTTCTCTGTAAGCATAGCTGGGTGAATAGGCAAACTGGCCTCTGCAAGAACTTCCTACATATGACTATTCATTATTGTCTTATGATAAAAATATCACAGACATGATTCTAGGCTGAGTGCCTTACGGGGATTAAGTCTTCTTCTAGACCAAAAGAAATATCAATTAAAAGCACATGAGTACTGTAGATTTAAAGCTAAATCTAGGATTACATTTAATCCTTGTCCAGGAAATTGGCCTTGTAAATCTATGTCTAAAATAGCAAAGAACCTGGCAAACACTTACAAGAAAAGACATGGATCCTCTTTAGTGTGTTACATATGAAACGCTGAAAACACGTCCAGGGAATACCTGCGAAGACAAGTGAGAAAACTGTGAAGAAGATGTCTCTGTTTGGTCTGCTGCTCCTGCTGGGGACAAATGTCACTTTTGGTTTGTCAATTAACTTTATTATCATTTGATTTGTTTTAACTTTATTGTCAGAATACTTTGCAAGGTGTACACTGTGCCACATTCATAACAAAAAAAAAACAACATTTAACCACACAACCAAACAAATTCTACAAACATATATTACAGCAGACGTTACAAATAAGTAGCTGCAGTGCATCAATTTATTTACTCACTTTCACATTCAGTTATTAGTCTAAAACACTGAGGCCCATTTAGAAACCAAACTCTGATTTAACTAACAAACAAAAGACTCTTCAGTCTAGCCTGTAGGACAATACATCTTCTGTTTGATGGCAAAAGCTGATATGGAGGTCTGATGTAATATTACCAGCCAGAGACTAACCTTCTTTTAGTATACGCATTTGTTGCAGATAAACAACGACAAATGTACCACGCACTGACTCCATAATGCATAACACTCACTGTATTATACACTGAAAAAACAATAACGAAATCTGTGTGCTTCCTCCAAATGACACCAGTCTCCTAAGAAACTAAATACGTTGTTTCACTTTACTAGAAATATAATCTATGTGAGTGTCCATGGATGTCTAAATATTTACATGAGTGTGTTATGGGCAGTAACTGGTGGAAGATAGGAGTTCACTGGAGGAGCAGAAAGTCTTGTGTCTTTCTTGTATTAATAATCAGTGAATTATATTCACATAACTCCACTAATCTGCACCTTACTGATACTGAATACTAGGATTTTAAACCAAACACAACAGTAGAATCAAATTTGGAGTCTCAGTTTTGATAATAGCAATGAATCAGCTGAGGATTCACCTCTAGTTGAGCTATTACCCTTACCACACTTTAAAAGTCTATCACAGAATACATAAAACATCTGGAAAAAACAGCCAACATCTGCAGAACATGAACATTATTTGATAGTTTAAGTGATATCGTATGAAATTATTTATGTTTTGGCACATAACCAAAACATATGAACGTGTCTTGCCCTAGTGTATGTCATGCATATACGTTACCACCTATTAAAGGTTATTAATAAACCTCGTTTTGCACAGAAATGAACCATGAACCAGATGCTCGCAGTGGAGAGATCTATTGAATGCAGACTTTAAAGGTTGAAACGGATCGAAAAACGGCGCTTATAATACAAACACGGAGACAACGACCTCCACACGCAGCAATCTGAACAAAACAAACCACTGACTCAAAGCAGATTTGCTCCCAAACAGCTGAATTCACGCTAAGAGTCGCTGATGTTGCCATGATGGAGGTCGGACAGTAATGACTGATTTCAGCAGCAAAAACGTGCTTTTATTTTAACATTTTAATAACTTACCTATACGGGGTTCGAAAGAGCAATGCCTTGTTGAAGTAATTATATAATTTCAGGTAACTTATCTAGCAACCATCCTCTCTGGCGGGTGTTTTTCTTTCTCTCTTTCTCTCTCTCGGTTTCGGGGGGAGCCGCGTCGCGCACGAACTGACGACACAGCCACGGCGCTTACATGACGCGCCCGCTGCTTGATCTGGTGTGGTCAGGTGAAAACAGTCTGCAGCTTCTTCTGGCGTCAGAAACAGGTAAAAAACAGAGCCGCTACACGACTGTCGGTGCACTCAGTTGAGGAAAACGTGTGTGTGCGCTGCACGGAGTTGCGAAAGAGACATTAATTAAAAGAAATTCGCAGGAAAAGCCTCCAAAAACCTCCAAAAACGTCGGCCTCATTTTGCGGCCTTGAGCTAACGCTAATGTTTTTGTGTTTAACAACCCGGATAGATCGGGATTGAATGTTATTTTATACCGTTTTTTAAAGGACTTCGAGGCAAACTAACCTTCCTTGAGCCATCAGCTGGATCTCATCGCTGTGGGTTCATTGTTTGTCCGTGATTAGCGCACAGATAACTGGCTTTATGTTGGCGTAGTTGCGTCGGTTTCTCAACCCTGAAAACGTTGTTTTTCCTGCAGAAACCAACTTTAATTAAGTGTAATTAATGTACTAATGCTTATTGACGAACATGTAAATGTCTTAGGAGCTGCTAGTACTGGAAGATTCACATTAATGTAGGTTTA